GGGCACAAGTCCAAGAGAGGTACAGTCCCCTCTGAGCTCAACCAGTGTGAAGGAATGGTTGGGTGAAGGCTGCGCTCGGGGAGATAAGCATTCCCTTAGCCCCCAACAGGAGTGTGGGAAGTTTAAGAAGATGAGACTGGTACCACCCTAAGGAATTCACGGTGTTCTGGCTTGCTGGCTTGGGAAGGTATATTCAGTCTGGAGAGGTTTCTGTCTTGGGGTGGGAGCTAATAAACGCAACAGAACTGTATCTGCACTGTCTTGTGGAGTTCTTTGGGCTGAACCTGACAACCAGGACTTGGTTAAACATGCCAGATCAGCACCCTCATCCACAATTAAATCATGAGTGATGGCAGCTGGTTACATACCGACATGGCATTCAGTGGCAGCAGCCAGAGCCCAGGTCAACTGTGGATCCAATAGCTGGGTGCTGAGGGTGAAAGCTAGGGGTCAGACAGCGGGACCGCTTTTAAGCACTGGGCCTGGTGTTCCAAGGTGCAGCCTGTTTCAGGGTTCCTGCCATACCTCCCTCTGTCTGTCACTGTTGTGATGATCCTGCCTACCTTCTCAGCTCCTTCATCCCTCTCTCACGCATCACTTCTGCTCCCAGGCTAAGACATATTCCCCCCCCCTCCACCATGCACATACTCAGACCAAGTCCCTACAACCCACTCTGCCACACCTAGCTGTACCTGCTCAAGCAGTCAGTAGTCTTAGAGGTCAAACCTTTGCAGGAGAAGACCACCTGTGTCTTACCGCCCCACCCTCTATAACCCTTTAAAGGTGGAAAGCGCAGAAGAGACTAACCCAGTCCAAAAGGCCCAAGGCAGCTGTGTCTCCATGGCTAGAGGGGGAAGCAGCCAGAGATCAGGGTCTGGGGAAGGCCACCCATCACATCCTCTGTGTCTGTCCCATTGCCACATCATCACCAGTCTCAGAGCCCTGTAGTCCACAGTGCTAGTCCCCCACTGCTGACCTCAAGACCACTGGCTTCTTGGCCACTGCAGTCCTTGCCAGGCCTGGCAGCTCCACTGAGTCTTACTCAAAATTATATTGTTTTTTTCAGGTTGCTTGTCTAATACGAGTTCCTGCTGAAGTTGTGAAACAAAGAGCACAGGTGTCTCCGACTTCCAGCACCTTACAGATCCTTTCTAAAACCATCTATGATGAGGTAAAGGCTGAAGAAAATTTGGGGGGGAGGTCCCCAATTTACTGGGCCTGAACAAATAATATATTCTGGGAAGTCCCTAACTTTTGGGGGTTGAGGGGTACATCATCATAAGGACATGTTGTGAGCACTTTAGAAAAATGGGAGTGGGGGGATTTGGTCACTCCCAAAATGGCTGCCATCTTTATACTTTGCATTGGGGCACATACTTCCCAGCTCTCACTTGTTTTGATTTGCAGGTGCCTATTTTGTTAAACTAATAAAGCTTTATTAGGTCAGAACACATTGCTCTTGTTACTCGTCGCAAGATCCTAACTGCTTCTTAATTGGAATTCTAGGTGAAAGTGAGGGACAGTATCTCACTGAACTGTGTGCGTGTACTTTCCTTGAATAAACTCCCTCCGTTGACCAAGGCTGCACATTTGGCAACCTGCAGCAGCTTGCAGACAGCTGAAACTGGGCATCCTGAGGTTGCTAAATCTGCAGCCTTGGTCAACGGAGGGAGTTTATTCAAGGAAAGTACACGCACACAGTTCAGTGAGATACTGTCCCTCACTTTCACCTAGAATTCCAATTAAGAAGCAGTTAGCATCTTGCGACGAGTAACAAGAGCAGTGTGTTCTGACCTAATAAAGCTTTATTAGTTTAACAAAATAGGCACCTGCACACTTGCACACATTCTCATCCCCACTTATCTCTCATTATTAGAGCTGGCCAAGCACCAGTATGAAAGAAGGGGAAGCTCTTATCCAGATAAGAAGTATTCAGCCTCCACTTTCTCTTTTAAGACTTTTGTAGTTGGCGTTGCTGGGCAGAATCTCACTGTGCACAACACTGATGGATTAATTGCCACTTGTTGGTTTGTCTCTCCAGCTGGCTTCCTCAGGTGTTTGCTTTTTCTCCCCAATCCTCCTTGAAATGCATATGTGATACACATACTTTCAGATAATGGTGACTGTCTTTGTATAGTGTTGAGTGTATAATGACTGTCTAACCTTCCAGAAGTTTTATTTTTCTTTATTACAGCAGTTGGGGACACTTGGCTGAGGCAGCCAACTTAAAAAAAAATCTTCAGGGTACTTATGGGGAATTCTTGGCAGTAAAAAAGATGCTAGAGACTGGTGTAGCATGTCATACTGTTTTTGGTTTTAATCAGAATTTAATTGAATTAACTTATTTAATTATTACAATTTTAATGTAATTAAATTGTTTCTAGGTTATTAGATATGATTTAAACTAATTGAATATTATTTTAATTATTACATTGTAAAGTAGCTGACAATGGAAACAAAATAGAAAATATAAAACATAGTGACAATAAAATTAGTACAGTTAAAAGCAATATATGTAATTTTTCCTAAATGTAGCTTACTTTTTTAATGATATATATTTTGAATAGCTAATGATTCTAAGTGTCAGCAATAAATTCTTTCTCTTCTGGTTCTTCTAGGTTACTAACTATATATTATCCCTTCAATGATGAACACATTTAAAAGTGGGGATAAAACTCAAGAAGTCAATATGTAGTGTGTTTATAATCAATATTGTCAATTTCCTGGAAGCCTCAGTAAAGCTGTTCTGCTTGTCATGTAATCCTCAATACATTTGCAGCCTTTCCTAACAATTTGCAATAGTTGATGGGTTTTCTTTGTTGATTTTTTAGGGTATCCTAGGACTCTACCGAGGTTATAAAAGCACAGTATTAAGAGAGGTAACACAATTTACTTTTCCACTTCATTTAAAAAAAAAAAAAAAAATTTGATAAGGAATATATTACAAATGCTCCTTCACCGGATGAAAACAAGCCTCACTGAGGAAGAGATTGCATTGTAAACTTCATTGTACTTCATTTTGTATATTGCCCTGAGACTTTCAGTTATAGCATGATTTAGAGACTGGATGAATAAATGAATAATATTAATAAGAAAACTGTTAATATGATTAATCCTGACATTGCATTGAATACATTCTCTATTATGGAATGGCTTGACCTGGCAACCTTATTGCAGACTTCCTAACATCTGACATTTTAACTTGTGTATATATTTAAGTAGCAAAATACTAATTATGGCATGTTCTAGGCGACTGAATTGAACAGGGCCCTCAAATTCAAAATGAAATGAAGAGTGATACAGAAATGCTTCAGATAAATTAAATGCTAACTTATTAGGGGTATCTTCCTTCCTTGCTAACAAAGAAGCTAATTAAGGAAACAATCTGGATTTAATTAAAAAGTATAATTTGTTCCATAGCTCAAATCCAGGTTAACTGTCTTAATTTGCAGTGATCTGAGTTGAGCCATTGATACTAGCAATTTTTTTTACCATCAATAATCTATTTTTAAAAATATATGATTTATATAGCTGTCCATCTCGCCCAAGTGACTCTGGGCAGTTTACAAGATTAAAACAAACAAACCCACCAAACATAACCTCCCTCCCCAGCACCCAAGGATAACTCACTCATCATCAATAGTAGCGTAGCAGAATTCATCTACCCCCTGACCCAAATGCCTGGGGAAACAGCCAGGTCTTCAATGCCTTGCAAAAGGCTAACAGGGTTGGGATTTGGGAGTGAACATAGAGTGAATTCAATGAAAGTGAAAAACTAGCTCTAATAAAAAAGCACAAAAGGATGCTTCCAGGTCAAGTGACTAAGTTCACCTCTGTTATGTTGCATTTATGAGCTGCAGTAGTTTTTCCTTGATTCAAAAGTACCTGTTCCCTCATTCTCATTCTCTTGTATTCTTAAAAAAAAAAAAAAGTCCAGTCCCACCACAACTTTTCTGTACATAGAAGGGTTAGGATTTGGTGGCATTCTCACTGGAGAAAAGAGGAAGGTATCCCTAACACTGCCTTTCACACAATATGGAAGAATACAGAGAAGCAGGAATCTGCGCAAATGACCTCTTCCTTCTCTTTCTCTAACACAGTGTTGTCCAAACTTGGCCACTTTAAGATGAGTGGACTTCAACTCCCAGAATTCCACAGCCAGTATTCTGGGAGTTGAAATCCACTCATCTTAAAGTGGCCAAGTTTGGACAACACTGCTCTAACAGAAGCAGAAATAGAATTCCACTTGCTGGTTTGCAGGATCCAGAGAAGTGGGGAAGAAATTAGATGTCCCTCTTCATCCTCACCTCGACTTATTTCACCTCTGAAATCACTGTCAATAGTTAGGTGGCTCTTTCAGATGAAATGAGTTGGTGTATGAGGCAATCATCCAGCCTTTTTGCCAATGCTTTTCTAGATCCTAATTGTATATGATTGCAACGGCAGGGTTTATTTGGCTTGTAAAGCTGTACATGTAAGTGACAACTGTAAGTGATATATAATCCATAAAGGGATAGCATTTCAAGTGTAAGGATGGAAAAGTTCTGAGAAAGGTTTGGGAACCTTCCCTTGGAGTCATTCATGGTTGTATGGAAAAGTTGGGTGTCATTGCTAATGTGCTGTCATATAAATTAACTCTGGTATAATTGTTTGTGGACACACATACCTGCTTGTTATTCTGGTAAGCACGGTCAGTTTAATTATATGAGCTGGTCAGTAATTTGGTTAGGACTGTAGATGGTTCTGTGGATTAATCACGTTAGTTGAAACTCAGGCACATGTATCCATGTTGGCCCTGGACCTCAAATGATACTATTTAGCACTGTTGTGCTAGGGTAAATTTCTTCTGTGTTCAGGTGTAATTTTTTGTTTTCATCCATTTGAAATATATCTCTTTTTTTTTTTTTATTAATTTGTATTAAAAGTTTTTACATAACTAAAAGACAAATACAGAAGTGTATAAAGAAAAGAAAAATAAAAAGTAAAAAGAAAAAGTGCAGAAAAGAATACAATTAAAGAAAAAAAGTTAAGGAAGTGAATTCTGCCCTTCTTTACAGCAGTTACAAACTCATTATCCCTCCTTCCTCCTTAACATTATAGTAATCCCTTCAGCTTCTTATTCAATCTTTATTCAATCGTCAAATCCAGAAATCACTTTTTCATTTGTTTCCATTTTCAGCAAAAAGTCCATAAAAGGTTTCCAGTCTTTTATAAAAGTACTTATTGTTTTGTCCAAACAGGTGTGTTTTGCCATCTCTGCTGGTTCTGCCATCTTCACAATCCATTCCTCCATTGTGGGATATGCATCTTTGTGCATATAATAGTCTTGCTGCAGTTACCGTATATAAAATCAGTCTTCCATAAGTCTTTTCTAATTGATTAATTAATAAGTCCCAGTAAAAAGAGTTCTGGATTCATCTCAATATTAATCTTCAAAATTCTTTGTATCATCATATGTATTTCCAAAATTGTTTTGCTTTTTCACAAATCCACCATGCACAGTAAAATGTCACTTCATGTTTTTCACATTTCCAACATTGACTAGAAGTACCTTTATACATCTTAGATAATTTCTCTGCTGTCATATACCAATGGTACATCATTTTGTAAAAGTTCTCTCTTAAATTATAACACAATGTGAATTTCAGTGCTGTTATCCACTTCTGTCCCATTGATCCATCTGTATATTATAGCCAAAATTCTTAGCTCATTTTATCATGCAATCTTTAACTTGTTCCTCTTCTGTTTCAAATTTCAACAAAAGTTCATACATTTTTGCAATCACTTGCTCATCATTTGTACGCAATTCATTTTCAAATTCCGTTTCATGTTGTTCGATCCCCATTACCTTTTTATCTATATTAAGTATTTCTATTAATTGTGCATATGAAAACCATTGAAAGCTAAATCCTTCTGTAGTTCTCTTTACTTTAACTTAAGCTGTCCATCTACCTGGATTTATAAGTATGTTATATTAACCATTTCCTTTTGCCTGCTGTTTTAATTCTATAAAATGCTTCCTGTGCTGAGACCAGTAAAGGTATTTTCAGGTATAACCTGGGTTTATATTTATTTCATATCCTTAATATGGCACTTCTCACATAATGATTTTTGAAATCTACATTAACTTTAACTTTATCATGTCATAAAAACCCATCCCAACCAAACCTCAGGTTTTGTACTTCTAATTCCAACATTCTTTTATTTCTCAGCAATAATTTATTTCTCACTCTTTCATCGAAACCAAACAGCAGGCTGCAAAATACAATTTAAAATCAGGCAATCCTAATCCTCCTCTTTCTTTTGCATCTTGAAGAATTTTATATTTCACCCGTGGTGAATATAAAAATAAAAGAAATTTTATATTTCTTACCTTGCCATATAAATCTGGATATGTCTTTTTGCCATTGCATGAAAGGTGCCTCATTTTTCAAATTATTGTTTGAAATAAAAACATCATTCTAGGTAACACATTAATTTTTACCACATAAATTCTTCCAAACAATGATAATTGTAACTTTTCCCATTTTAATAGATTTTTCTTAATTTCACTCCATACCTTGATATAATTATTTTGAAATAACATGCAATTCATATTAATCATCATAATACCCAGATATTTTACTTTTTTCTCAATATTAAAACCAGTTTTTTAAAACAATTCTTTTTGATCTTCCATCCTCATGTTTTTTGTTAACATCTTCGTTTTCTCCTTATTAATTTTAAGCCTAGCTAACACACCAAATTCCTTTAATTTTTCCATTAATATATCTATTCCTTCTATAGGATTTTCCAAAATTAAAAGCAAATCATCCACAAATGCCCTTGATTTATATGTTTCTTTTTAAACCTTTCACCCTAGCTATTCTTTCATCTTGTCTTATATTTCTATTGAAAACTTCAAGTGCCTGAATGAACATCAGTGGCAAAAGCGAGCATCCCTGTCTTGTCCCTTTCTCAGTTCACCATTAATTATAATTTGTGCCTTTTGTAAAGCATATAGTGATTTCACACATTTAATAAAAATCCCTCTAAATTCCATATTTTCCAAAATTTTGAACAGGAAAGTCAATTTCAAGTTGTTAAATGCTTTCTCTGCATCAAGAAATATCAGTGCAGCTTGTTTTTCATTATTATGTTCCAAATATTCTTATATGTTAAGAATATTTCTAATATTGTCTCTTTACTGTCTTTTAGGCAAAATGCTACATTGATCTTCATGTATAAAATCATGCAAGACTCTTCATCCTTTCAGTTAAATCATATTAAATATTTTATAATCATTGTTCAATAAAGATATTGGCTAGTAATTTTTTGCTAAAGTTGGTTCTTGCCCTTATTTAGGAATTAATGCTGTATTTGCATCTGACCAACTTTCTGGTATCCTTCCACTATCCAGAATGGAATTCATCATTTTTTGAAGAGGTTGTAACAGTTCATCTTCCAAATATTTGTAATAGAAGGCTGACAATCTGTCTGGGCCAGGAGCTTTCTCTATTTTAGTCTTTTTTTATAGCCTCACAGACTTCCCTTATTGTTATAGGTCTGTGGAGTCCTTGGGGTTCTCTGAGCTTGGTTGTTTTCTTGCAAACGTTTCATTACCCAGCTAGGTAACATCTTCAGTGCTAAAATGGGATGGGGTTTGCTCTCTGTTTATATGCTGTGGCTTGCCCTGCCTCTGTGTGTGTGTGTGTGTGTGTGTGTTTC